CTGTGATTGTCAGGCCATGTACTAAATGCCTTATTTTTTTGAGACAGAGTCATGCTCTGTCACCTAGGCTAGAGTGGGACAGTGGCAGGATCTCGGCTGACTGCAACCTCTGCTTTCCAGGTTTAAGCAATTCTCCTGCCTCAGCCTCCTCAGTAGCTGGGAATATACGCACCCACCACCACGCCTGGCTAATTTTTGTAAAGACAGGGTTTCACCATCTTGGCCAGGCAGGTCTTGAACTCATGACCTGATGATCCACCGGCCTCGGCCTCCCAAAGTGCTGGTATTACAGGCGTAAGCCACCACGCCCAGCTATTGTCTTCTTTTATCAATCCTCAGAGCAATCATAAGTGGAGTTATGACTATGATTCTAATTAAATAAGCTGAGTGGCTTAAAATTAGAAAGCTGTTGAGACAGCTACTGACAACCTAAGCCAGGCCCAGAACACAGGTGTGGTGAATGACAGGAAGTTCTTAGCCTCTGTGACATATTATCTTCAGTATGGTTGACAATCTGGACATAAAATTTATGCTTGCTAAAAATGTTTTCCCCTAAAAACATAGGAGAAATAGACTATTCAATATAATTATTAATTTGCTTTTAAAAAACTTCTAATGTGAATTCTGAAATCTCACTAATTTAAATTTAATAAATTGAATGTTTCTTATTTCAAGTAATTTGATTAATTGAGAAGTTACTATAGAACTATAAGATTTCCAGGAACTGCATTTTAATAAACAGATAAGTTACTACTTTATATTAAGTAAGACGAATTGCCTGAAACAAACCTATTTTATGCTTAATAAATATCCATTGATTAAGTGGATAAATGGCATGCATTGGCATCCAAAATTGGTTAGTTTTCTTCTCCCTTTCCACTTTCCTTCTTGACATATTATATTTCCAATTTATCATTCTGTGAATTCTGGTTTCACTGGGGAGAAAGAAAAGATGTAAGTGAAATTTGAGTTTACAAGTTTGGAAAACTGTCAAGAAAGTAACATCAGGTGTACATTAGATCACAGTTATTATCCAGGCACATTTATCAAGCATGTCAGTGAATTTTACTCTCTATTAGATGTTATATTTCCAAGAGGCAAGGCCTTTGCAAGAGTAGAAAGAGACATTCTACTATAATTTGTATTGTAGTTACTTAATCATGCTGCTTAATCACATTGTTTGCTGACTAATTGAATGCCTGTTTAGTACAGAAGCTAAGGGAAGGGAGGAAGTTTCCCTGACTCCACGGGTGCTGTGAAATTGTCCAGTCACAGTCAGGACAGTTTCCCTGGGCTGTCTCCTGTGAGAGGAGCTGCCCGATCTGTTCTTCGCATGAAGTGAAAAACCAGCAGATTCCATGAGTGAGGAGAGAGGCAGGTGATAAACCTTCAGATGTCTAAGTTTCTGAGTCAGATCGTATGGCATCGTTTCATGAATTCCCAGAATACCGGATAAATTCCTATTCAAATAGAGCCCCCATTAGGTGACAAATCAACACTGATACGGTTTTTAGGTAAGATAATGGTGGCCATCCGCTTCCTTTGCAAGGGTCTGCGTGCATTGCTGAGATTTTTTCGACACCCATTTATTCCTCCTGGCTTGTAGGCGGCAGCGCCCTTGCCTGTCTAACTAAAGGATCTCTGAGGGAGGACAGCAGATGGCCCCAACAGGTCATCTCCAAAGCTCCCTGACCAAGGACACTCACTCATTGGATCGGCTTAGTACGAAGCTCAGACCTGTGTCATCTCTTCTTTCTCAGCCTGTTCCATATTCTTCTCTAGCTCTTCCTGTTTTTTTTTTTTTTTTCAAATGGCAAATTTTTTTAACTTTAACATGTGGTAGTCATGAGAAATCATACCCTCTGGTGCTGGAAGCTGACAACAGAGGAAGATGTGGCTGTGCTACATGGAGGACTGTGTGTTGGCTCTTCTCTCTCCACTATAAAATTCCGAGAAATTAATGTAACTTTTTCTGGCACAGGTAATAAGGTTAGCCGTGGGATGCCTAGAGGACAACAGACACTCTGTTTGTCACCATGTGGACATCAGCTGGTGGAAATCACAGTAGCTCAAACCACAGGATGGTTGTTTAATAGACTCTACACGTGCATGATTGAATTTGCAGTAGTTGCCAGTTGAAAAACAGTTATCCTGGCTAGCAGAAAACCCCAGGTGCAAGGAAGCAGTAACTAACTGAACCCTAACAAGCAGGACAAGGGGCACATCATCAGATGGTAAAGAAACAGATGATTAGGTTGGAGAAGATTTAGAAAGGCAAAGACTGAGGAAGTAGCACAAGCTTTCCACAATGTCCTAAGAAGGGGGAAGGGTTAGAATTAAATACTTACAGTTAGATTCTGTGACTTATGGGGGTTACTCCTATTGAGAAGCGACACCAATATTTATTGAGGAAACTATCAAATGCTAAAAATTGTTCTAATTGCCAATGTTAGACAAGTGAACAAATAGGACACAAATCTCTGGCCTGAATAGTCCCAATTTTCATTTCAGATGACCATTTTTGATGCCCTAATAAAAAATATAGGCAAAAATAATCAATTTGTTATTAAACTATGTTGCAAAGATGGAGAGATTTTTAAAAAAATTTTTTAAAAGAAACATTATGGGTTAATTCGAAAACTTTTAGTAAAGAATGTCTCTGAAGGAACTTCATCCGTGACTTGTTTTCTGTGAAACTCAATACTTCCTAGGGTTGAAAATGTGGTGGGTGGCCTGGTTTCCTACCCATAAAAGTTACTTCACAAATAAAACATAATGCATGAGATACATTTCATGAAATGCTGGTAGCCAATTTTAATAAGTCAAGTGAGGGGCCAGCTTCAAAGCAGTCACCTGGGATATAAAGCCATGGGCGGGGCCAGCTTTAGAGACCCTTCCAGGAGGGAACATCTGGGCCAATGGCAGGGCCAATGGCAGGCCGAGTCCACATTCTCAGTGGGATTCCGACAAATGACTTTCCCTCCGCAAATATTTTTCAAATGCACTTTATTGAGAGCTTGAAATGCATACTGACAATGGCAGTATGACTACACTGATTCACAATTAAATCAACAAATAGTTATAAACTCTACTTGATGTTTATAATAGTCAGTAATTATGAAGTGTTACAAAGTAGGAAAATGTAACATAAAGGTACAACTCAGATTTCATTATCAGTTTTTTTCTAAGATTTTCTAATTGGATAATGTTAATATTAGAGGGCTTTAAGATTTCACATCTAAAGTTTTTGATCCTGAGATAGCGCATTAAAAACAGACTTATTAGAGAGTAAGATATTAGCATATAGGAGGGTCCATGTTTTCATTCAGTCCTTTGTCCAGTGACCTTTAGACCAATGACTCACCTATTGAGTTTTGAAAACCCAGTTATATTTTGCCTATGTTCTTTTTTTCATTTGGACAGTAAATGCCAATATTTTAAAAGTTAATTTTACCACATTTATCAGTGTGGAATAGGTCAATTTTAGCTAATTATTTACACAGTAAATAGGAAGCAACTGAACAGTTGTCTCAAGTCATGCAGCCCCATTTTCACATGTCAGGGACTAGAAGCATTGTATAGAGTGCTGAGAGGTAAATGCAGAAAGTGTGCTATTGCTAAGGTCAGGGGACGCATAGCCTTTTTAAGAGAGAGATCTCAGATGAAGAGTTATGGTAGATTAAAGAAATATGAGGAATAGGCATAATTTATTATTATTGTATTGACATAAATGGAAGAGAGACATGTCTAGTTCTGTAGGCCCTTAGGAAAACCTGGGTAATGGAAGAGAGACATGTCTAGTTCTGTAGGCCCTTAGGAAAACCTGGGTAATGGAAGAGAGACATGTCTAGTTCTGTAGGCCCTTAGGAAAACCTGGGTTCTGTGGTAGCTTCTCTTCCCCCCACAGTAGCCCTTGTAAAGTCACAGGTCCTGTCTGCTGACTTTTCTAGCTGAGTCTCCTGGAATAATAACTGACCTGAACAAAGGGTTAAGCCCAAGGGAGAAAACAGAAAGGATGAGCTATGATGAAGGTGAATCCTTCCTATGAAATGTTGTCATCAGTTTGTGTGATAGAATGTCTGAGGAAAATGAAGCAGAAGTTCTCTTACATTAATTTCTTCTTGTGCAATTACTTTCTTCTGCTCCTTTCTCAAACCCAGTTTAAATTATTGTTAAAACCAGAGTGTCTATGCTGGCATTATATTTCTAAAATATGTCTATTCATTTGAAAAAAGGCTTCTTTCTTAAAGTGGAGGTCTATTAAATTATTTTTATATTCCAGACTAAATTGTATATATTGGATTATGTACTTTCTATGCTTCACTTAGTCTTTCAACTTTTAGGTATCTTCTTTATTCTTAAAGTCACCATTCCTATTTTCTGTCTTAAAACTTGCAATAACATTTTAAGTTCCCTTTTTGCATTGTGCTGTAAAGAAATTTTGTAGTTTATTGTAGACTAGGAACTAAAGCTCGAAAGTGACTTTGGAGATCATCTGCTCCAGAATTCTCTTTTAAAGTTGAAAAGACACGATTTATTTGAGGTCACACAGTGTAAGACGTAGCCGAGATGGTAACTCTGGTTGAATTCCACTGGACACTGTGTTTTGCCCTCTGTCTTACTGCAGTCAGGACAATTAGGTGTGTATGGAGACTCTCTGAACAATGAGATTTTCATGAAGATTCTCATTGAGTCACAATGGGATTTGAAATGCACTGCTTTCGTACTGACAATACTCACGGTGCTATCATCTGTTAGATCCTTTGGCGAGTAGAAAGGCCTTTGGAAATCGTACAATGCTCCAGCATAACCTTGCAGATACCAAAGGTATTGGCGGCTGAGCAACCCACTTGTTCACTGGAGTCCATGTACCAACTGGAATCCATGCACCATTTTTTACTATGATTAGAGAATAGCTGTCTTGAAATTTCCCATCAATGTTATGTCTTTACCATACTGACAAAATGATGTAGAAAAAAACCTTGTTTCTCTGTTTCCAGCTAGAACATGTGGATCCAATCTGCGTGGGCCCAGTGGCATCATTACTTCCCCTAATTATCCAGTTCAGTATGAAGATAATGCACACTGTGTGTGGGTCATCACCACCACCGACCCAGACAAGGTAAGGCTCCACCTCCAACCCCTGTGGTTCACACATGCTACACTCTGACAGGATCTACTTTAAAGCAAACACCCTGGCAAATGCCATCCATCCTTACACTTCACTGTTGGAATTTAAAAGTTTCTGCCACCTTATGTGTCTAGATACCACATTCATTCCAGACAGCCTGAGATTCAGATACAAAGTGAATATTCTGTGTGGCCCCATTTACTGTTTCTGCAGCTAAAGTCTATGTTCCTCCCTCACATTTCATAGTACTCTCCCTTCTCCCTTATGTCTTATAAGACTCAAGTCTTATCCACTATATCACAAGCTTTCTTAAACACCACAGTATTTATGCACAGTACGACTAAGTTTTGGAAATGCTCCTACTATACTCAGATACAAAAATACTGCCTTTTGGCTGGGAACAGTGGCTCATGCCTGTAATCCTAGCACTTCAGGAGGTTGAAGTGGGTAGATCACTTGAGGGCACTAATTCAAAAACTAGTCTGGTCCACATGGTGAAACCCTGTCTTTACTAAAAAACAAAACAAACAAAAAAATTAGCCAGGAGCCATGGCAGGCGCCACTGTTTGCCAATCCCAACTTCTCTGGAGCCTGAGGCAGGGGAATTGATTGAACCCAGGAGGCAGAGCTTGAAGTGAACCAAGATCCTGTCACTGCACCCCAGCTTGTGTGACAGAGCAAGACTCGATAGCAAAAAAAGATAAAAAAGCTTTTTTTAAAATAGTTCATGTGCTTCTTCTTATGAGCTATATACCTTTTTCAAGAATTAAACATCTGAGCTCCTTTTTCTATTTCTTATCTTAAATACTTGGTATAGAATATATATTTTCCTCCAGGATAGTAAAAGAGAATAATACTATGTTATTTCTCTGTAAGTCTGCATATATAGGTTGCAAATATGTTACTCCATTTTAAATCTTAGGATAAGAAATTGTATCCATAATCAGGTTTCATTGGCTATCAAATGAATTTTCTTTCACTCCTTTTAAGTTCAATATAGATGCTTGCCAGTGGGAAGAAACAATAAAAGGTAGATCATCTTCATATTGATTTGGTTTTTAAAAAAGTCAGGAAACTATTATAGATATGAATTTCACTTAAAATACAAAATATTCAAATAATTATATTTATAGTAATATTAAATTTACTGAGCCCCACTATTTGCCAATTGTTGAGTGATTATCAACAGTTCTGTGTCTAAATAATCATCTTGTTTTTACATTTTATTAAAATATCCATCTTATCTATATCGTTTCCTCTCAAAGTTGTTGAGTTCCCAGTTCTAAAAGAGAAATATTCTGATTTTAGATTCAGTGAAGTGTTCATTGCAGATGCCTTTTGGTTTGGGTTGGCTTATTTTAGTCCTAAAATCTCACTTATTATTTATGTAAAAATACAAGCTTTAGTGAGCAGAGCTGGGTAAAAATCCAGGGCGTTGTAGGCTTTCTGAAACACTGAGGAATTTCTGGGCTGTCTTTGCTGTGACAGAAGCCTCCAAGTTTGATTCTGGTGTTTCTTAGTATGCTAGAGCTGTGTCGTACCCTGGGACATCAACTTCAGTGGAACAAACTTGGTTTTTTCTACATGCTATTCAATGGTTTAGTTATTCAATTTGTTTTTTTGTTTTTTTTTTTTTTAACCAAGAACCTACTATTTTTCAGTACTTGGAATCAGCACTTTAGAAACCAGCTCCACCACTTACTAGTTGCATGAATTTGGGCAAGTTTAACTTTCCTAAACTTCAGAGTCCATATCTGTAAAGAATTATAGTAACAGCATTTACCTTAGAGAGCAGTTGTGAAAAACAGCTAAATCCACATGCTGCCTAAGGAAATGCAGTATCATTATCTATTATAAGCCGCTAATACTAATAGTGGTAACATAAACAAACACAAGATAAATAGGAAAAAAAACACTTATTAACAATTTATTAACTGTTTACTAAGCCATCTCATTAATTTGCCTAACAAAAAGGAGTTTTATTTCTATCTCAATTAACATTATATAGTATATAACTAGTTTATAGATAATTATGGTTACTGGTTTCTGCATTTACAAACTTTAAAATAATTAGAATATTCTGTTTGGTCTCCAGAACGTTAAATAGTATAATGTTGTGAATTTAGAAAAGTTCTGAAGGTTAGACAGTGGTACTTTACAAAAGAAACAGTAAAACCATTGAGTTTGTTTTGGGGACATATTATGTCTTGAACTGAATTAAGAGTAAATAGATCACATCCATTTCTATAAGGGCTCAAAAGCAAGTATTTTATATTATAGGGATTGAGATGTGACCAAGACCAGAAGTATCTGATTGGGACATTTTTAAAATACAGTATTATGCTACTTCTGCAAGTTGAGAGGCAGAGCGAACTCTTCTTAGATTTTTTAAAAAGAAAATATAGCTAAAAAGCAATTAATTAGATTAAATCAAGGGAGTAGGTAAGTTAACCGGTATATGTACCAGGTGGGTTTATGAGAATTGCGTGAATCTATCACAAATTTTAGAAAGGTGTGAAAGTTGAGATTACATAAAACTAGAAAAGCTGGGCAGAAGAAATATCGCAATAAGGGGCTCTCCAGGGAGCACCCTGCACCTGCTGCCTGTGATGAGGCTGCACCAAGACCCTCTCCTGCCCGCCTCTCTGCTCTCAGCCCCTTGACTGCCGCAGAGCCTCAGCTGCTGCCCCAACTGCTCCAGGAATCTCCGGCTTTCTGCCCCAGGCTGTGCACTCAGAGCTTGCACACCCTGCGGGAGTCCTCTCCTCCTTCTGACACAGCCCCACCTGCAGTGAGAGGGAGCTCCCGGCACCCTTCCTGGCTGCAGGAGTGCTCAAATGAGCCCCTCCAGTGGGTCAGACAGAAAACTCTCGGGCGAATTCTCACCGCCCTGCTGCCATCCCTAGCAGGACATGGAGCCAAATGCCTGCAAGGAGGCTGACTCAGTATCCCACTCACAGGTGGGATTTCTTTCCATCCCCTTCTTTCACTCTCTTGAAGTCAAATGAATGGGCGGCCATGTAGCAAGGCCATGCTCTAGGGGAGACCCACGAGGAGACGAACAGGAACACGTGGTAACATCACTGCTTCCTGTGGCCCTTGCGGCCGAGCGGAAGGAAGTGGCCCTCACAGCGTTTTGGAAGGAGACGTGGGAGGCAGAGTTTGGAATCTCATACAAACTTCAGATGAAACATGATAAAATCTGGAACAGAGCAGACGCCACGGAGAGATGCAGGGGCAATTACCCCGGGCTCGTCTCAGGTGGAGACTCAGCAAGACTTGAGACCTTCCAGCACCGGGAGGGAGGAACACACGAACCCCGAGCACCGGGAGGGAGGAACCGGAAGACCCTGGGAGCGCTCGCAAAGGGAACTTCCGGGGGAGCGCAGGTGGTTCAGCTTTTTCCTGCTCGGCTCTCCAGGGCAGAGACGGTATTTCTCCTCCACTCTCCAGATGCCTGCAACCTCCGCAAGCCTTTAGTTTCGAATTCGGTCATGTTTAATGAAAGGAGCAGTGTTTGGCATAGAGATGGGAGACATGTTTTCCAGAATTTGTCTCGCTGACTTCCTTCCTATCTCATTGAGTCAAATGCCAGTGGTCCAATTCCCCAAGAGCCAAGGAAAGAAAAATCTAGAAGCCAGGAAGAGGAGCCGGTGGGTAGTGTGTGGTGGTGAGCAGTGGTGTCTTACCACGTCCAGGTAAGCAGGACGCCAAGGAAAGAGGTTAGAATTCGCACTAGCACATCTTTTGCTCATATGGCGTGATTCCAATTGCACTATCTTCCTTTTAGCTTGCTTTTATGGCTTACAGCCATTAAAACTCCTGGTGTATGTTCTCTGATTTCTTAGAGTTGGCTTTTAAACTTGTCCAAAGCATAAATGACAAATAATGAATTTAGGCAGCTTGGGTTTATACAATTATCTTCTCTCCTATTAGAAGTTTCTTCTATCTGTGTGTTTGCTTATGCAGACTTTCTATATATTTTCTTGATTCTCAGGACTTAATAACTAACTAAATTTCAGTTATTTTGTGTTATAGTGCTTCAGAAAATTTTTTGCCCTTTGTCATTTATCTTAGAGAAATGTTCAAAGAAGAAACAAGCATTCCAGGTTGACATACCCGCACAACCATACTCTTAGCAGAGCACCACTTAGACACCTGAAGGCATCTCAATTAAGCAGAATTACCATCCAAATTAAGCAGCAGCCATTGCCATTAGTGTAATTAGGCTTAATTTGATTCCTTGGGAGACATTCCAAGTAAGTGGGTCTCTCAATTAAGTGCACGTTGATGAAAGTGTATTACGTATTGAACATAAGAGAAAAGAACAGTTACATAAAAGTTTCCAGGCAGTGACTCTTGCCGGAAGCACTGACGAAGCATTTTGGATATGAAGAATTTGCCCACTTCAGTTTGTATGTTTGACCTGGTCTGCAAACTTAGAAGAAATGAGATAGGACAGAAAACTGAAATAAGTTTCCAGCGCCAATGATGGATTAGTCGATACTCTCTTCTCTTTCCTGAAACACTGACCTCTCGAGATTTATGCCCTTTCCTAGTCTTGTTTCGGCTTTGACTGTTGTATGACCAAGCGCCATGGTCAGTTTATTGCAATTTATGTAAAATTCCTCATACAAAATAATTAATGGTGGAAGCTTAGCATATTTCCAATAATGCACATGACATGTTATAATATCGTATATCAAGTCAAAAGGAACATGAAATATCCATCATTAGAAATCTAAAACTACTAGGAGAAACTATGTTGTATCTTGTATGCAGCAAGTTATAAAATGAAAGGACTTTCAAGAAGATTCCTTTAGTGGAGAAGCAGATTTTTAAACAATTGTAACTGTTCATTCCAGGGTATTCTGGTAGAAAGTTAATGCAAGGAATATGGTAATATGATTTTTATAAATATATTGTAGACACATTTGACAATCCAGCTATTTTCAGAACTCTTGATGAGTCCTGCAATCAGAATTCTTGAA